AAGCACACACATGTCATGTTGTGATTCACATGTTGTTTTCTGTAAAATATCCCAAAATATTCTGACCTTTAAACAAAGTCAGTTTGTGTGTTGGTGTATTATGGCTGTATTTACCAACAGTTATGAATCAATGAAGCATATATTCAGAATAACTGAATTCATCTCCAACGTCCGAAACAAGTGCTTCAATTAGGAGGCATGATTTGAAGAATAAGTGTGAAGGGGAACATCAAGTTGTTGCACCACCAGTAGGATCATACATTTAGAAGGTTTGACTCAGCTTTTTCTTTAAAGTAAGTAAATCAAGATTATGATCAGTAATTGATTCAGTGACAGCTGATGCCAACTTCAAAAGAGGAATAATGCACACAAAGGCTTTCCGGAGAGGAAGACAGATTTAACTTCAGGAAAAAATTACTAAAAGCTAAAAGCAAATAGAATCCAGATAATACAGTCAATACCCATTTTCACAGTTTAATCTGATTTATAGGCTTCCTCATGGAGCCTCATCCATCACTGTCAAAAGCCAGTTAAATTGTAATGGATAAAATGCCACAATATCTACATCCCTCTTACTTGTTAACACTTACTGAATATGACAAGAGTAGTACATGTATAGTGGGATCCCAGCTGCTCGGCCAATGAGCCCTATGACTTTTTGAAATCTTTTTGCAGGGTTAATAACTTAGTTGACTGACAGATACAGAAAGCTGAACTATGTAATATCCAGGCTCATTGTTGTAACTGTTTTGCAAAAAAATGACTATCAAGGACTTGTAGTATTAGTATTAAACTGGGAAGAAGAAAAATATGTCTGATAAATTCATGCAAGTAGATTTTAAAGCTGCACTGATCAACATTTCACATCAACAATCAATTAAAAGATTGTGCATTGTGAAATGTGTTTTACCTATACAGAGAAATAGCACTTGACTCTGCAGCTTCCTTCAGCTCTATGAGGTGTTTTAACTTCTTTCAGCTCATGGTTTTGGTTTTCCAGCCCACAACTCCACTGTTAAGGTTCAGTCTCACTGATCACATCAGCATCGTTTCCACCTGCAAAATGCAGCGGTTTTAACTGAATAAGATCAAACACACTCTGAGTGCTACCCGCACAGCACCAAACAGCAGACAGACACAGTAAGAGATGAGCTGGTGAACAGAGTGGAGCATTTAGCAACTAAACGGCCAGATTAGATTCGTCAGGTGGCCAGAAACATAACTCCTGTGAATGTTAATGTTGCTCCATAACTGCTGTCTGCGATCAAGTGTTCTGTCATTGTTGTGTTTACGTCTTGTTTTTCCCCCAACATGGTAATGAATGAAGATCTTGAAGTTAAAGTAGAAAGTTATTTGTCATTCATCTTATTGATTAAGTGATTAAATTAATTAAAGCAGGTTGTATGTTCGTGGAATAAAACTGCATGATTTGATCCATTTTCACATTACGATTATTAGCATTTCTATTTTTTGTACAGTATTTAAAACACTTGGAAGAGTAGTTATTATTCGCTAACTGTACGTGAAAGTATCAAATGCTGTCTAATTTTATGTGACTACATTTTAAATTATACGGACTGTGTGATGACTGTGAGAATTTCTGTGAATGTTTTTGCACTACATTATCAACACCAGTAACTTCTGTGCTTGGCTGGTTAGAAATGATTTCCCCTTCACTTTGAGCCTTTTCATTATGACCTCAGACTTCCACTTCATTTTCCCCCTTGTCGAGAATTTTATTTCTGCTGTAGCGAATCCGCTCATTCGCTCCTTTACTTCACATACAAGCACAGACAGATACGCACAAAAACAAACAGATTTGTCAGCTGGTTCATTTGCATAGGTCAAAGCGTTCAGGCGTGACATAAAAAGGGCAGAGATTAAAGTTACATCTGCATCTGCGAGCAATTACATCCTGTCAGGTCTTTTCAGTTAATATGCTCACCTACGGTCCGACGCCTGGGGATATCTGAGAATATGCAGCGTAGGACTTGTAGCCATGGAAACACAGCCACAGCTGAGATTCAGTCTCGCAGAAAACAATTAACAGTGACATTTATCCACATGTGAAGCATTTTAGCTGGGTGGTGAGTGCAGATTTCACACCCACATGCATTGTTCTGGTAAATCTGTTTTTCTACTTAAAATTTCCTTCTAACACTGATGGCTTGCTTTAGATTGTAAGTGAACAGTCATTTCATCTTTGGCAGGGTTTATGTTTATTTTCAAGTGCTTGACTATTACCTGATTCTCTTTCCATTTGTGGTGTCCCATCCGCCCTGTGGTACTGACAGCTTCTCCTCAGCTACCTACCTGTGGCTCACCTGCAGGAGAGAGAACATAGAAAGCTGCCTCTCTGGTTCCTGGGGGGCATTCAGATATTCTCACTTCTGACAAGTTGCTTCCTTTTGTCATATGGTATTCAAAACTCAGCTGTTTCCCCTGATCACACAGCGACTTCTGCCAGGAATATATCCCTCAGTGTTTTATGTCTCTGTGTCGGGGGCAGAATATAATGACAAGACATGATAGGATGCCTCTCAGAGCCGTCTCCCACAAGAGGCAAAGAGATGAATTATAGAGAAAGAGAGAGAGAGAGAGAGAGAGAGAGAGAGAACTTAGATTTTATTTTAAGGAATAGTTTGACATTTTGGGGAACACGCTTATTTTCTTTTTTGTTGAGAGTTAGCTGGGAAGATTGATACTACTGTCAAGTTTGCATGGTAGAAACGAAGCTACAGCCAGTAACTAGTTAGCTTAGCTTAGCATGAAGAGATTGGAAATGGGGGAAACAGTTTGCCTGGCTCTGTCCAACAGTAACGGTGTCGCTCTGCTTCCAGTCTTTATGCTATGCTAAGCTGAGCTAACTGACTGCTGGGTCCGTACAGATATGAGACTAGTATCAAACTTCTCATCTAACAGAAAGAAAACAAATTGAACTATTGCTCACATATGTGAGCTATATGAGCATTTTACCTTTTTTTTCCTGTCATTTACGCAATAATTATATTAATTATTAAATAGAGGAATAATAATTTTAAAGATACTGAAATTTCCCTCTTAAACACAAAGTTGTTACTTCCTTATTCACTGATCGCTTGACATTACCCCTTGTACTTGTTATAGTCCTATTATAGGTACCCAATAAATACTTCACAAATGTCCTTGATTATTATACTGTAATTTACATGAAGTGATCTAATGATTCACCTGAGCTACTTACACCCAAATGTTTCAAAAGCTTGTTTTAAAAAAACTTTGCACTCTGCACAAAAAGAATTAAAACAATTTAAGGACAGCCACAAAACTGTTGGGAATCAAGGATTTTTTCCTGGACATATTTTCACCAAGAGGCATTTCTTTTACTCAACAGTCAATATCCTGTTTCCCACAAATAATACACAGTGCCTGTTTGGTTCAATTAGTTACGCATTTCTGCTATATACAAGGCAAAATCAGATCAGCATATTTGTAGAAGATTTAAATTGAAGAAGGACTTGTCATAAAAAATGACAGTTGGTTCAGGAAGGAAGGAGATGAACCTGTTAAAAATCAGCATTTAATTCTCACAGCAAGGTAAATAACTGTAATTTTGCAAATGCTAGATCTCAAAGGCAATACAGATATATTATCACCCCGGCTTCATTGAAATCAGGACAGTACTATTCTGAAATATTGCATGTGACTCATACTCAGACAGAAACAGCTCCACAGCTCCATCACTGTGGGATACAGTTGGATGTATCTTTTACTCCAGATTTACAGGGAATTTATGTCTCTGCTGTGTACTCTGTGCCAACCTAAAAAAAAAAACAAAAAAAAACCTCCTTATGTCATTCTGTGGCACAAAATGATGCGCTAAATCAACAAGGGTGATAAATGTATGTATGATAATAGAATATTAAACAAATATACATATACAGATTCCCCATCTACTGTCATTTTGAAGCTGAAGGTAATGTTTGGAAAGTGCACCAGCGGGCAGTCAGGAGAAGAGGTCAACTAAAAGAAGATGCAAGTAATGTGCATGGGCATTCATGGGAATTCTTTTGTTGGATTTCTTTCATTCAAAAGTTGGGCATGCAGAGGCGCTCTTATTGCATATATTAAGATGTGTTAGTCCTTTTGATGAAAGTGGGTTTCCATGTATATTTAATGCCATGGTTTGCCGAGCTCTGCTTGAATATGGATGGTAATGAGGACTGGCATGTTGAAAACAGGCTGTGCTACTCGTCTCCTCCCAAGGTGCGCACAACAGTCAGAGCAGAAAGCCACGCTGTTTCTCAGCTTCTGCCCATGAATTTGTCACTACAAACTGAAGACATCACTTCCACGACTCTGCACTTTCTAAATGGTGTGGTACGTGCATGTACATTAGTCTGTATGTGTGCACAATATTCAACGAAAAGTTCCTTTCAAAGGCCAAAGCTACGGTGGCTCTGAGTGTTCAATACTCTGCAACAGAAGAAAATACATGCACAAGCAAATGAAGAAAGCATCACCAATTTGACAAAAGTGCATAACAAAATGTGCTGCAAATATCAACAACCATGTTACAAATACAGAAATGCACAATATTTTAAACAATATAACATGTCCATGGATTTTGCCCCCTATCACTTACACGGGAATCACATTGCGAAGGTACATCTTAATAGCCAGTCCGACCATGAGGAGCAATCACAGCAAACAAAACCTGTTTCATCCGTTCACATAGCCACCTGGCTATTGTTTTAAGACAGATGTGAAAAAAAATGTGATGTATACGTACGTGTTTTTCCTAATGTTGCAGTGTATTGAACTCTCGGTTTAGAATCAAAAATCTATTTGGGGTTGACGGCAGATTCCAGTCCTTTCAATTTCAATGACAGGATGACCCTTTTTGTTCAGACAAATTGTGCCTTCAACAACAAAAGAAAAGAGGCACTTGCACTCAGTAGTTTACATCAGTTGTTTTACTGTTATATATTACAAATATTTGAAATATTTACATTTAGAAAATTATGTATTGTTTTCAGATTTATTCCAACATCTTCCCACAACTGTAGAGCTGAACCGCATAATAAACCTACAAACCTGAGACACTAAAAGAAAATAATTACAGCAGGGACAGGTTCAGAAAGCTTGCTACACAGTAGCAAATATGAACAAAGTACAAAAACATGAACCTATTACATTTTTTAAGTCAACGAAAATCTGACTGTACTGTATTTACCACAAAATATACTAAATATACTACCTTGTCAAATCTGCAAAATATCTGCCAACTATGGCTGATCCTGTAGGCAAAATAAAATGTTTAACATTTATGATGTGATGTCGACCGCTCATCAGTGGACATTGTGGTGCTCAAAATGAGCGTGCTCAACCACGCACCGTCCTTTCACACACGCAGACACACACGCATACACATGTGCACACACTCACAGAAAAACCCTCCAAAAAAAAAACCAAACACCCAACTTCATCCAGTCCGGTGTGCTATTCACTCAGGTGTTGCTTTCAGCAGTCAATCACAACAAGCTGCTAAACAACACGTTTGTAATGAACCATTTCTGTCCAGTGCATTTCTGCAGTGCCAGTTGGTAGCCAAACTCATTGTCACTGCTCGCGACAAGCTCTAGGCATCTCTTTGATTTCTTGTTCTGAATGGATCCTCCCTGAAAAGATAAAAGCAGGATGGTTAAAATTGTGCCGAGCTCCCGAAGATCAATTTGTGTGCACAACATAACTTGCCTCCTTTTAAACCCACACTGCTCTGAACAGATATGGACGTGAGCTGCTGCTAAGCTCTGGGGCGTTTTGGCTGATTCACACTACCATCCTCATTGGGCCCACCAGATAGCATCAACATAGTTTCAAGGCAAAAACAACAATGCAATTGCCAGTGAAGTCATTAGCTTTCTTCCAAGATTGAAAGAGAATACTCAGGATGAACAAACTGAATCAAAAGAGGAAAAAAAAGACAAACACAAAACAGAGCGACAGGGACAAAAACATCTGGTGCTGATGTAGAAGGACAGCTCAAATCAAATTTCTGAACCGTTACAATAATGTGTAAAATAGATTAATTAAGTATTTGATTTATGGGAAAAATGATTGTAAGTATTTGTACAGTTGTACAGTAACTGGACAGATATGCCTGAAATCGAATAAAATGTATGTTTAACTTCATGTATATCTGTCCAATTACTTTGGAACCCCTAAATTTAAGGCAGTGTGTGTTAAACGTACTTTAATGCAGTATCTATTATATATAGCACAGGTACAACTTTAACTGTCCGAGCATTTATGGTCTGGACTGTACGGAGTGTGAAGGAAGAGCAAAAACGTTTATTGCAAAATGAAAGTAAGGCACAACAAGTTACAAACTTTAATATGACAGCTGTTGCCAGTCTGAACAGAGTGAGCGCATCAGCTCGGCAAAAAATGTTCTAGCATGTCCTGATGAAATGAGGCAGGATTTTCTCATTACAGTGTCAGGACTGACAAAGGGCAAGGGACTGAAGAGGAGACCATCAACATTCACACACAGTGTGGAGAGAGCTGTGAGGAGAGAGCTCTTTCAATACTACTAGGGGAATGCAGAGGGACATGGGAGAAAAAAAAAAAAAAAAGACCTAAGGATTGGACAGGTTGTACTGACTGTGAGCTAAATTATTCTTTGTGTGTTTCCACGAGAGTCTGGCCTGTCTCTGAGGTCCAAGAGACATTTTTTATAGATACCAGATTGGTATAAACTGTGGGTAGTAGGCATTTATGGACTAATATGCCCTGAGCCAGCCCATGAGTGCAATCAAGACAAAAAAGGGTATCTGTACAAAGTGAGATCCATTTTAGATCATTTGTGTATTGAATCTCCATTATGGGTACACCAGCTTTTGGCTGAGCTGTGCATGCTGTAAAGATGAAAATATTAGATTATAATATTTTATGATGTGATAACATCTACACCATCTCCCTGATAATTGAGCAACTCAAGGAATGAAAACATATAAAAGAACTTCAGTATTTACTTGTTATTTTTGCCTATAAGGTTTTTAAGTGTAGAGCAGAACCCAAACTGAGAGACTTCAACCCTTTATTGATCAACGTTTTCACGCAGGCACAATCTCCATAGGGCTTGTTATCAAAGACTGGATCAGGTCCTGGCAGACTGCACTGCAGGAGAGTGCCTGAGCCTGCATGTTAAACCAGCTGTTTAAGCCCTATTCAGAGATGGCTTCATTTTTGTGGTCTGCGTGTCATTGAGTTACAGGTGCAACATCTGTATCAAAAAACATCAGCCTGTTGGAATAAATAAAAAGGTTTTGTTTGTAGCCCGACCAGAACGCTATTTTATTGATGGTGTAATGGACTGACACAGTAACTTATTCTTCATCCGACAAGTATTTTCTCTTGCAAAACTGAATCTGAAAACACATAAAGCATAAACCTTACCTTTGTGTCAATTGTCCAAGTAGGTTTTTCTAGTGCTGCGTCTTTCTTGCCTCATTGTGGTGTGCTAAGTCGTAATGGGCTCATTACTGCGCCGAGAGGCTGAAGGACAGAAAATGGCCGTTGTAGCAGCTGTGTTTTCCCCCAGCAACCACAAGGGGCAACAACGAGCCCATTCTACGCTCGAAAACAAACCTCGCCAAGTTACACAAAGGTGAGATATATGCTTATACTGGAAGTGTTTTCATGAAATATTTTTTGGTTTAACAAGTGAAAACACTTCAAGGACAATTAACTGTTTGGTTTGGCAAATGTATGTTTAGTTAATCACTTCACCTGTGATAGAGAACTTTCCTACGGGAGCTTGTGGGAGTGTTTCTCAGGCAGCAGATGAAACAGTTGTCTTGATTTTGTCTGAGGGTGAGCCCACAGTGTCACAGTGTCAGACTTTGAAAACCCCTGATTTAGAGGAGCTTGTTACAAGAATATTTGGAGTTAATTGGGTAAGTTGGCTGAGTAAAACCAGCTTAATAATTGGACTGAATTGCATTTTTGTTTCACTCCATTAATTCCATCTAACGTCACAATCTTTTTCAGAGGATATCTTTGTTGATTTCTTAACAGCTGTTATTTTTGTACGTGGACTTACCACAACCTGTGCTGTAAGCACAATTTCAACCCATAGAAATCCAAAAGCTGTGATTGGCTGGTGGTTTCTCAGACCGGAGGGAACAGCCATCGCTAAGCACACCACCAGACCCGTTTGAATCCATGAACATATTGAAGATGTGGGCGATTACACAGAGGTCTGGAACGAGGCCAAAGTAAAACCCAGAATCCCTGAAAATCTGAAACATTAACTGATAAAAGCAGCTGCTCTGGGTTTTTCTCTGCCAGTGTAACACCTTCTTCAAACAGTCTCCAGGAGTCGGCTAATGAATGTACAGTGTAAGTGAGTATGTAGCATGGGGGATGTTTGTTGTTTGACTTAGGATGCTACGGTTTGCTATAGGGTTTATATTAAATTTACTATGCTATATGCAGAACAATAGGCATTTGTGGCAGAAAAATAAAAAAAGGCATCACCCACACATAACCACAAATCCACATATCCACACAAGCAAACCAAACCATACAGTCCCACCCACTGAACATGTGTTTGCTGTTCTAATCAGCACCTACAAACTAATGTCTAATCCTAACATGCAAGCACACGTTTCATTCCTTTCACCAAGCAAGGCTGATCAAAACCACTTAGAGGTATTTACAGTGGATGAAGGAAGTGAAGCATTTTGCTCATTCCACTGGAAAAAGATTAAAAATATCTTCTGTTAATTAGGTTTTGTGCAGAATGGTGCAACATTTGAATTAAAAAAAAAAAAAAAAAAAAAACTTTCTCTCTCACTAATTTGTAGACAGCTCCATTCAATAATTGATGCCATATTTCAGAAACATGATATGCTCTAGCCTTGCTGATATGTCCGCATTCCACTTGCTAAATTATACACAGTTAACTAAAATAACCATTTAAAGTCCAGTGTGAGGAGATACGACAAACGAGTTCAAGCGTATAAAACCTTTTCATGCCTAGTGCCCGTTACATTGTAAAACCCCACGGACACACCTGTAGCAGCAGTCCAGAGGACACATCGTCAAAAGAATATTTTACTTGTTGTCTTAAACGTCTAATATGAAGCACATTTGGGATTTTATACATATGTGACTGAAAGAGGAACACAAATCTATAATTAACACGACAGCCGACAGCTTAGCAGAAAATAATACGAGATGTTTTGAGCCCAAATCAAAGCATGCTGTAAATCCAATTCACCCACTGTCATGGGGCATTTCGTGAGGTGGCTACTTCTTCAGCCAAAACACAGTTTGCAAGCACAGAGCCTCTAATGAAGTAAGACAGTCATTGAGTTTCAGTGACTCTTCACGTCTAAAGCAGGTACAGGATTGAGGGGAACTCCAGTCAAACAGTAAATTAAATCACCTAAATGATTAAATGCTACCTCCACAGTTTTTTCCGGTCACATTTGACACATTACCTTAACTGAGGCTGTATATCAACAGCAAACCGAATGTTAACCTTGTACTTTCTGACCGTGTGTGGCTGCGTCATGTGTTGTCACCTGAGTGAAGAGCCAGTGGAGCTTCATGCGTTTGGCTGCAGCATAGCTGCACTCAATGAGGCGAGGTCTGCTGTTCACATCCACCAGGCACTTGTTGTCGTCATCATCAATGGTGGGACTGAGGAGCCCGATGTGCAGCTGCTGAGTGCTGGTGTAGTACACATTCTGCAAGATACACCACATCCTGCTATGAACAAACTGTGTGGTGTTATATACTGAATGTTGAGACGACTGGGGTTGACATTTAGATAATGGCCCTTCCAGAGCTGTATATGACCATATAGGCAATAAATTATGCAGCAAATGAGGCTTCCTCTTGGATTGTCTTGACTATGAAAGAGACATCTATGAGGTTGATTTACATACACTAAATATGTGTATTTATACAGCTATCCTGATTGAATGGAGGACAAGGAAAGACAAGGCCAGACACACAAAAGAAGCTCATGATTAATTCAGGCATTGGGCGAAAACCCGAATAATTGTGCCCTCTGTGATGGAATCCTTCCCAACTGATTTTTTTTGAAGGGCAGTTGTTTGCGCATACGAAGCTGACAAAAACTGATGATCATTTTCAGCAATGAAGCAGGAGAAGCATGTTGTGTGCTCAAAAAGAAAAAGACTTAATGGTATAACCATGAGACAGAGAGTGGGAAGAGATTGATTTTTGAGAGATTGAATTTGTTGATTGTACTTTTGGCAGAACACTAGCTTTAGTTTGGGTTTAGTTCACACAGAGTGATAAGCAAGAGCTGTGAGAAAACAAGGATGTACTGTATAAGATTATATGAAATTGCTAATTGCTAATAGAAAAGAGATATTTGTTCTTTGCGTAGAGTAAACTTCCACTCCATTTCATTTCAAACTTCATAATAATATATAAGAAACTTGTGAAAAATAATGCACTGTAAAAGGTTAAACCTTGTGACCTCTCAGAAAAACAATGTGTAGTTGGGGCACATTGAGATATGTTAGCAGTTTCAGAATTTCACTATAGTATACAGTATACTGTATATAATAGTTGAAATTAGCTCCATCCTGGCCAGCTACAACAGTGAAATGTTGATGCATTTGTATTAACAATCTAATAATGTCATATATAATAATTAATCAGTCAGACAGGCTCGTTTTCTGCAGAATGAGTGCTTTTACCTTTGTACTTTACATACGTTTTGCTGATAATTCTGTGCTTTTACTAAAGTAGAATTTTGGATGAATGGATTATTTTCTACATAGTTTTATTTGTACATTCACTACAGTAAAGGATCCGAGTACTTCTTCCACCACTGGCAGCTTCAACTAGCAAATGAACAAAAACAAAATTAAATTCAGTTAATTGGTTTGTAGTATCCAAATGATAAAGAAGCACAAGAAGATCATGGGGGAGTTTGATTCATATCAGAGTAAAATTGGGTAGAGAGCAGACAATTAAACAGAGGCTCTGTCTGAAGAAGTCAATACATTTCATAAGTGGGACTGGGATAAAGTTTCTTTCTGACTCCAACCCCCCACATATTTTGCGTTATTAAAAATAAAAAATCAGGGCCATGTTTGCTTCCTGTGCTGCCTGTCTTACTTTTACTCTTATCCTTTTACTCTAATCTTATTTGTCTGATAACACCCAAGCGGCCTCCTTCACACCAGACATTTAACAGTCTGACGAGTGTGACTTTTTTTTTTGTGTGTGTTTGAGCGGCTCATTTTTGGAGCAGCAGCGCAGGCTGCCAGGCCGGATGTGTCTGAGGTTTTTCTATTGTTGCTGTGCTTAAGTTGGTATGTTTTATTACTGATCGAGCTGAAGTGCTGTACTGTTTGCTGACAACATGCTCTTGTAAAGTCAGCCACGTGTTGGATTGGGAGCTTTGTAATACCCTTTCATGTGTGCCTGTGCAGTTTTCTTTCAGCATGTTGATGTACTGCATTTACCCCAGCACCTCAGATACAAAAGTGTAGCTCTCCCAAAGCATCATCAGTGAAAAGTAGCTGGCACTTACAATGACACATTTTCACTGACTACAGCAAACGTTTGCAACAGTCTATGTGTCTGTATCACTATTGAGGCAATCCAGGGGCTAATTCCTCTCGATGATGTAACACTGAAATATAAAAATAGAGCAGACTAGATTTGTCTTGCAGAGGAGATCCTTAATCTCATTAGAAACGCTGGTGCTACCCCAATCCTTTGTTTGATATGCCTGGATTTATGAGAGATTTATAGCACATAACATATTTATAACTCTTAAGTTTTAATATTATCTAAGTCTCAGAAAGGGCCGCAGAAGTTGACTTATGAGTGTTTTAAGGAAAAAGTGTTAATAAGATTCCACAGGATTATACAAATTTCTCACCAAAGACTTCTCCCGAATCACTTCTAATGTGCACTGTGGTGTAAATATCAATACAGGCACGACGTGTCTGACACATTCAATAGATTCATTTGAATGGAGAGGGATAATGTGAGATCAAGCCGCACTCTATGAGATACGTTTACAACTGCCACAGCAAGGTTAAACAATCTCTGAAAACAACCTGCTCAGACATAATGGGATGAGGGGATCAATAGGAGCTGGAGGAGGCTGGAGAAAATAAATGATAATCAACTCCCTGTTATTTAGGTTGAGATATATCTTGAATCGTGAGTCGAGAGATACACTTAAGTGAGCAGCTGAAATAAACTTGAAGTTTATCAGGCTGTTTGTCTGAACCTGAATCTTTTACTGTTTAACGTTTTAATCTTTTAAATGCCTGTGATAATGAGAAAGTAACCTTTTGACATTAAACTGAAGAAAGCTAAGACAGAGACAAATGTTCAGGTGGAATCTAACTTCTAAAACCATTTAAAAACAGGATTTCGTATTATGTTTGGTCAATAATGTGTATTTTATTCTGAGCTGAATTCGGTTAGGACATGTCACCCCTACAAGGAGGTGTATGAAAAATGGGGACGAGTTTAATATTTAAAAACATGGAGGACTGTTTCTGCAAAGGGCAAAATAGAAAACTTGATTCTGTTTTATGAGATAAAGCTACTGAGTTTGATCCAATCTAAAAGCAGGGGAAAGGCGAGTCATTTTTCTTCGAGAGAACAGTTTTTTATTGAGGAAGAAAAATCCGAGATGGAAATAAAATATAGAGGTGATATATTAAATCTGGATATATGCTACATGCTGCATGAAACAGCGGTGCAGAGAGTGAGAGAGAGACAGAAAGCCCAGGAGAGCTCTGACCTGTGGTGTCATCCCGTGACAGAGATACAGAATAGGGACGTTGTCATTGTCGGGCCCCTGGTCCAGACACAGATCATTCTTCAGAGAGTTTTTCAGCTGACAGACAAAGAAAAACACATAGTTAAAAACACACACACACAATAAGAAACAAAAGATATGATTTCTTTACCTGTACAAAGTAACCCAGATATTAGCCATCATCAGGTAAAAGTATTACCAAATGTATTGATAATATTTTTGGTATAAACTCACTTGAGTACTGTCTGACAAATTAAGCTTGCTTTAAAGCCACAGTGTGTAACTGTTATCTGATATTTTTTTAGTTGAAATATGCTTTAAATAAGTTTGTGCTGATGGATGATGATCTCTGGTCGATGGTCATCAGAGTGATTGATGATATCTTATGCCTTTGCCAATGTCAAGACGATATTTGGCTTGTTTTCGCAATAATGTTTTAAAGTATTAACACTATTATTTGCAGTATTGAATTAATATCAAATTTCATTTGCCCTGCCATAGTTTTACATCAGCAAACCGATGGTTGCAACACCAACACCAACACGTGCGCACACACGCACACACACACACACACACACACACACACACACACACACACACACACACACACACACACACACACACACACACACACACTCTCTGATCAACTGACTGTCACTGAAGCGCTGTTTGTTGTGCGTAGGTGCTGCGCTGTGATTAAACAGAATGGAGGAGATTGATAGACAGACAGAACATGTCACTTAGCTCAGTTTCTTAGCTTGCTGCTTTTCATGGTTGTAAATCAATCAAACACTGCTACAGCTGACTCACAGGTTAGCAAGCTCCTGATTCCAGCATGAACTGATACACGCTGAGGATGTAGACGAAGGGCTGGGCGAAGTCTAACACAGAAGGTAGAGGCAGTGGTAGGAGCGAACTGGATTGCTTTCAAGTGTCATGCTAGTGCTAGCTTGATTTCTAGAAAACACTTATATGTGACACATGCAGCAGCGTGGAGTTGCACTGTGGCAGGTCCTGCGACCTTGCAACCTCACGTTCCACCAAGGAGGCCGTTCATCGCTCCACAGAGCTGTGCCTGTCAAAAAACAGCATCTAGTGCAAAACTATTTTTCATCACCAGGACCCCTGGGCTGTGTTTCACAGAGTGATTTTTGGAATATTGCTGCTACTCACAGCTGCATTACCTGTGCGCATCTGTCTGGCCAGAGCAATTAACGCAGATGGGAAACAGCTGGGCCACCGCGCACTCTTGGGCACTCAGTGAACAGTGAGTTTCTATCATCATTTGCTGGCATACCTTGTAATCTATTCCTGTGTCCTGTGGCACAGGAAAGCCCAGGTACTACAGCAAATCACCGATCCAGCAGGCTGGTCATCTGCCACCACTGATTTGCGCCCCAATTTGCAATTGTGTGTCCAGTGCCAGTCATGGTCAGTGAGTGAGAACTTTCTGAGCCGGGCTTCTCCCCCTTAACAAACTAAACTTTGTTAACATAGAGTGTGTTTATCTTAATGCATTTTTGTTGTTGTGGAGACCTTGACAGGTCTCTCTTATAAAAAATCTGCAGCAAACACCACTGAGTGCTGAAACCCTGCAGCGAGGAGGCAGAGGTTATTCAAAACTTTCCAAACCATCAATCATGTGAAACTCATTTCAACATCAGAAGCCTTACAGCAACCAACTAACTCATCTTCTGTCTGGCTCTAATCTGGACTTTTTCTGTCTAACTGAAAAATGGCGAGTGTATTCACAGTGTGTGGATACCAATGTTTCATGTATGTGTTTGCTGCTGAGACCGTTCTATATTACAAATGCACACCAGTATATTTGACTCAACTCAACTTGACTCAGCTGCTGCTGATACCAGCTCTCCTACACACTAGCTGCTCTCAACACTTTCTGTACCTGAAGAGCTGCACACTGAAAAGACCGATCGAGAGCTCCAAGGCTTGCTGGATTCATTCATGTGCCACGGTAGATTCAGTGCTTATTAGCCTGTTAGCTTGTTGGCCAGTTGATATTACTCCTGATTCCTGCTGCCTGTGGACTTAATTAAATATCACAAATAAAAGTGCTTTTTTTTTCAACCAGGCAAAATTGAATTGAGTTACTTCTGTTGCAATATACACGATGAAATGGGACCAGGATCAATAGATGGCGACGTGATGGTATAGGGAATTTACTCAAAAAGTGTTGTTAGTGTTAAGATACTTAATAAGAGTATAAATAAATAAATACATTTTTATTCCTAAAGAAGGTTGTTTTTTTGGGTTTTGTTTTTCTTTAATTTATTGCTGCTTATTTAAGTAAATATAAAATGTTATAAAGTGAAAATTGAAGCTAAATTTTCAGGGGTTTTAAGACAGTCTTTGAAATTAGTTAGGAGTTATATGAATTTTGAGAGATGAAAGACTGCGTATACTAAAAAACTATACTATAAAAAAAATTTGTGAGGTTGAGGTAATATTGAAAAATTAATGTTCAACCTTTCTACCCACTGATGGGATAAGATGAAAGTTTGCATTTGCAAAAGAATATTCTCAAAGATGGTTGTTAATATTATATATTAAACATTTAAATTTCAGTTACAGTGCAGTATTTTGTGAAAGTTATTTTAAAACATGATGATTGTGTCTTGTGTGCTTAGTATTAGTGTGACTTCTACATATGCGTGTAGAAGTCACTTGTGTATTTTAGAAGGAAGCTGAGAACAACCATAGACACCATCACTGAAGAAGGTAAGAAAAGATTAGCTTGGGTGAATAAAGCATGGTGCTCTGAAGAGTGGTGCTGCCTGTTTGAATTTTGATGGATTACGAAAAGTGGTAAAAGATAATTCCAGTCAAAACGCACTGAGACCGAGAAAGATGCATCTACCACCTGCTCTCTTCAACTCCTCAGCACATTATTTCTGCAGGGGAAAGAAATTATTATCCAAGCATTTATTTGTGCTTGCTGTGATGTTTACAAGCGTTACTAACCAAAAAAGAAAGCAAAAATGAAACAGCATCAGACAGACATCTTCACTAAAGAGAGAATAAATATTAAAAGGATATTTACAGAAAATACAGAAGAAGGTAGACCTGAGCAGGTTGAAACATATAAATTGTGTATCCTCTCAAAGTCATTTTGACTTTATAAGAATGTAAATCAGACGCGTTATGCATGATGAACATGATGCAGACTTTGAGGCCCAGAGAGTTATTCATGCGTGTCATGACAAAGGTCTGCCTGATTGCCAGATACAAACTGCACCCTAGGGAGCTCCAGGGATGGTGGTTTGTATGAGGAGTGAATTAGGTAAAGATGTGAGATCAAAAGAACTCAGCTAGGGAGGATTCAGCTCCCTACTGGCTCAGGAGATGTCTACTTCTATCTGATAATCATTAAATCCACAGGCAGCACATGGTCCTGCGCAACAGCCCACGTCTAAACTTTTTTACTGTGTGAGTGAAAAAATAGTGAATATGCAACACTAAGTGACACCTTCGGGGACAGCATTAGGTTAAAGTCACAGTGAGACAGCAATTAGAGCATCTTCAGCTTCTGTAATGTGACATATTTCTGAATGAAATGTAACAAGTTACAAGAGAGATTTAAATCAAAGCCCCCAGATGTGATTGGACTGCTCTGATGTGGGCATGACTTAGTGAATATAGATACGGAGCTGTGGAGGATGGTTGGCCTCCACCCACACCTTGCTCACTTACATTTTTTGATCAGGAAAAGAAGGAGGCGGGAAAATGAATAAACAAGACCTAAAACACCTTCTTTGGAAATGTGAACAGTTTTTGCCAACAAAAGCAAATTTTGTCCGTGCTAGTGGCACGGCTCTGGGGATGGCAATGCTGGTCTGTCAGCTGGTCCACCACTTTGATCCAGACTGAAATATCTCAACAACTATTGGATGGATTGCCATGAAATCTTACACAGGCATTCATGATTAACAGAGGATTAGTCCTAATGACTCAGGTGATGACTTTTCCTCTTGCACCATGGGTTTGACATTTATGGTTTGAATGAGACATCTTAACAATTATTTGTTGGACTACGATGACATTTACTACATAGATTAACATCCTCTCCAGGATGAATAGTATTAACTTTGGTGATCTCCTGACTTTTACTCTTGTGCCATCTTCAGGTCAAAATTTCAATTTGTCTAATATTTTGGTTTATGACCAAATACCTGCAAAACTAATGACATTAGCTGCACTTTGTATTTAGTGCTGATTAGCAAACGTTTGCATTCTAACATGCTAAACTACGACAATGAAGATGGTAAACATTATACCTATTACACATCAGCTGTTTCCATTGTCATTTTGAGCATGTTAGCTCAAAGCACTGTTTTACCTGTAAGTACAACCTCATACAGCCACTAGCATGACTGGAGACTCAGTCCAGACGCACACTTCCTGCTATGACACCATTCTGATAGTCACAGGGTGTTTTACAGGAAGAGCAAAGAGAGGGATTTTGATATATAAACACAAAAAAGTTTTTGTCATATATTTAGCATATATTAAGAGCTAACTGAACAGTTGGAAGTTGGAGAATGTATTTTTTATTTTACTATGAATAAAGTAGCTTTATGGACGTTGATTTTATTTATTTATTTATTTCATACCACTGTGTTGAATAAGGATGACGAGCTGCTCCCACACAGTGTCTCCTCAAACCACCAAGACTGGCTAACCTGTCAAATGCAAGTCACAAATATAGAATAATGAAGTCAACTAACTTGGACAAATGAATGTAATGAGGCTGGCCTATTTCCTTGACATATCCATCCACCATTTGTCACTTCGTACATGAAGAAAAAAAATCACCCATAGAACATAGAAAGCAGTGCCATAATACTGCGGCCTATGTGTCACTGTGTATTAGGGTGCATCACAGTGATGCAGGGTGGGAGGACCATGGAAATAAAGCTGTTTGAGAAAAACTAAGGACGGGCAAATAGATACACTGCCAGCATGCCCTGTTGGCTGTCAGTTTTTCTGGCTTCTCTGACTAATAAAATTCAGCTGGAAAGCCCCTTACATCTATTTTTAAAATGAGCTTCAATTAATTTATGTATTCATGGATCTATGTATCTACTTCCATCACAATAAACCAAGAGAAAATTCTTACTCTAACATTTAGGTCAAAGTTTCTGCAGCCAACCTCGTCTTTGTGAACTGTTTGTGTTCCTGACTGCAGCCATCCGGATCTCGACACAAGGGATTAGAATGATTTGCTCAGGCACGGTTTAGCCCTGTTCTGGCTTTTGTGGGCACTGAATTTAATTTTGGATGAAGAGGGAGTCGTCGCCTTACTACTCCATATGCGATGGTTTCGCTATACATCCTCATCTCAGGGTAGATGTTGACCAGGTACCATCGGAAAGTTTTACACTGCAGCCTCTTCCTCAGAGCCTTCCTCTCCGAGATGTCGCCAATATCAATCCCTGAGTCCTGGATTCGTTCAACAGCCGCACACATACACAGCAAACACAGAGAGAGAGAGAGACACAGATGGACACAAAGCATAAAATTGATTAACCGTGGTTTGTGAAGAAGTGAATCAGATAATGGGCCATTGAGGAGCATTGTGGAGTCATTTGTTATGTATTTGAATAGCCTCTGTAGGATTTTGATTTTTTTCTTTTTCTGACTTCGAAACCATCTACTGTATTATTCCAGCTGGCCCACCACGCAGCCACAATCAGGGCTAGTCTCATGTGACTTGTGCTGGAAAGTACATCTGCTCATGTACTGAACTTAATTGCAGTTTTGAGGTTCTTGTACATTGCATCAGTATTGCCATTTTATGCTCTTTTAGATTTCTACTTAACTACAAGTGAACTGTTTTTCTCCACTACATTTATCTGATGACTGTAGTTACTGTTTACTTCACACTGCTGTTTTTGGACTATGGTGTGCCTCAAGGGTCTGTTCTTGGACCTATTTTACTTTCTATATATTATCATCATCTTTTTAATTGGCTGTTTTAATATACTTATTATTTCAATAGATCTTATGTAAGGATCTCAGCAATTTAGCGAACCTAAATGATTGCTTAAAAGCCACGAGTTTCTGGATGTGTCAAAATTTTCAAAAACTGAATGGGGATAAAACAGAGGTCCTCTTTACAGGTTCTGGTAGTGCTCAAAAGACACTGCACCAAACTCTGGGACTGGGACTCTGGAAATATCAAACAGCATAGACAACATTTGGCATGCTCGTTAAGGAGCTTGTGCAATTATCCTTTCTGCAGTTAAGAAATATCTCTAAGATCTGACATTCTATCTTTTGAATGTGCTGAAAAACTAATTCAAGCTTTTGTGTTCAAATGCCTTGATTACTCTAATTCTTTATACTATTACCTTAGTCAAGGGGCTGTAGCTTTTCTGCAGATGGTTCAAAATACTGCAGCCTGACTTCTTACATAGACACATTTCTCCAGGATTGGCCTCTCTCAATTGGCTAATTGTGCAATTTAGAATCAAATATAAAACATTATTTATTACCTACCAGGCTCTACATGGTGAAGGCCCTGAGTCAATTTCTGAATTGTTGTGACCATATGGAAACCTAGTCTCTCAGGCCAGAAGATCAGTGCCTTCTGGATGTCCCCTGGGCCTGACTTCAAATGAAGGGAGACTGTGCGTTTGCTGTCTTTATATGTAAACTTTGGAATACTTTACCTTTCATTATAAGATCATCCAACTCAACTGGCATTTAAAAAAAAATCTCAAGACTCATTTATAATTCCCTTGTTTTTCTTTGTAATATTTTTTGTTTGTTTTTGTTTTAATATAATTTTTATTGTATCTGTTTGATGTCCTACTGTTTGATGCCTTTTGCTTGTGAAATACTTTGAAGTATTTGTTTTGAAACATCCTTTGGATGGTCCATAGACAAAGCTTATAAAATATAATACATTGTTAGGATTAATCCAGTGGCTCACAACATACTTGACTGACAAAAAAAGCTATGTGTTTTGGGGGCTTGTTATGTTACAGATGTCTGAGAGAGGTCAGATCCCTCGGCTTGAAACCACTGGACTAAACAACCTAATAGCATCTAAAGATAGATTTGCTGCATCAGAAAGAATCTAATAATGTGACATGATAATGTCACATGGAATAATATACATGACCAGTCATAGCGTAAATCTGATGCAGAATGAGAAGTTAAATGCATTTAGTTGCTAATATTTCTGTACTTTTACATAAGTGGGATTTCAAATGCAGTATTCAATATAGCATTATTGGTGGTTGCACTTAAGCTAAGATCCTGCTTCCATCACTGTTACCATCAATGTTACCATCTGCCCCATAGTGTCTGTATTTGCACTGTATTTCATCTAATGTCACTGATTCCTGTCAGTAATAACTCCAAAGGCTTCAGTAGGTGCAATTGTTGCTGACGACAACAAGTGAAGTCAGATGGGTGAGGGCGTAACAGTGTGCACTGCGTTGATTTTTACACTCTCAGAGGTAAATTAACACTGACAATTTTGCTGTGTAGTTAATTCATGGGGCTAAAACTGGGGCTAAATTTCATGCTTCTTGAGTACAGACTCTGTTAAACGCCTCATTATTGACTGAATGAATTGCCTGCAGATGTTCATCTATTCATAACGTGGATTTACATATTCAAACAGATTATGCAGGAGAAAAAAAAGCTTCAGTGAACAAACATTTGACTTCGCCTTTGAGGGATGCTACATTTAACATAAGACGACATTGTAGGATTATTTATTTTGAGTTCAGCTGAATCCAGAAATCCATCTGATGATCAAATAAAAATCAGTGTCTCCTCAAAACCCTGAAAATAAAACAATAATATAATTCTGAATAAACATGGACAGTGTTTAGCATATACATTTTATATCAGATTCATGTTGATTCTCCAGACTATGAGATATTTTGAACTATGTGAGTTGTGGATACTGCAGATGTCTTTCTTTCAAAATAATACATTTGTTTGCGTTTTTGCAGAAAAAAATACATAATTGAATAAAATAAATTACGCACATCTTCCTTTCTCTGTATTTAATTTATTCTTTCTGTATTATTAATGATTTTGCTCCCAAGTCACCGCTCTAATCCAGTTAGTTTTTTTAATTAATCCTTTAAAATTTTATTGTCGTTCTTTGTATTGAATTTTCTAACTGCTAATGTCTCCATTTGGACCCTTTTATTGAATCAAATTATGTATTTATTTATTCTGTGGCACGTATTCAATTCAGGCCATTCTGTAAGTGACAAGAAATCATTTCATTAGAGCCTTCTGGAGGTGTCAGGGGCATGATTCAATGGAACGTCTGTGATTGGAGGAGTGCAGCTGATAACCCTCTAACATTTAGATTGCTGGAGAACAGAGCTGCCTGTTGGTCCTCTAGATTTATGAAGGTATCAGTCAATATCATCTGTATTCATATTTGTGGGTTTGTGCATCATTTTTGCACATCTGATTTGGATTTCTGTGTTCCCTTTGGATTATGACACAAAAAAGGCTATAATCACACACACATGCACGCACGCACGCACGCACGCACGCACGCACACACACACAAGAAAACAAACTAAGACTGAAGCTTCTCTTTTTGTCATGTTATCTCTAAATCTTAAAAATATCTTAAATAATCCATATTGCCATATACTGTGATGTGATCTTTTGCAACATGTTGCTCATATGATGACACCTACTGTATTTCTGCATGTATGAAGTCTCAATGGTTCTGCCGTCTGTCAATTAAGCCTGTAGCCAGTTTGTATCTGACATCTGACATTTGAAAAATGGGACACGTGTACATACTGACAAGGTTTAGAAGCCATGCAATATGGCATAGACTATTTCATTTTAGCTGACTGTAAAGCTGAGAAACTGAAAGGTTTTTTGCTTTAAGACTGCAAACTTTTTTGCAATTTCAAGGGTATATTTTCGTCTTCAGTTACACAACTTACGACTTGTGGTTTTTGATTTTAATTGCTTCTCAACAAAAAATAACCATTCTTTTTTTTTTTAAGATTGGCTTATTGTTAACATCTAACTTAACTTTATGTCCCTACACAAATACTGTTATAGATAATATACACAAATACTGTTATAGTTCCTACACCCTGAAGACACTGTTCAGAGCGGTAAAGTGTTTTCTAGTGGTGATACTCTTCCATAAATACAGAGTGAAGATGTAAATAGAAGATCCTGTGGAAATCCTGTGGAAGATGCATGCCATGTAACTTCAACTTCAACTTGAAGCCCAAATGACAGAAACATAATCTTTATGTAAAAAAAGGTGAATGAAAGGAGCTGCTGGTTATACTAGTCCCTCAAAGTGATTAGACAACAGTTGAATTACTGAATGGTAAATGGAATTGTATTATTAAAGCCTGATTTTTAGATATTATTATTATTATATTAGATTTTTTTAATCATATATTTTATTTCACCTGTTTTGTTTACTATTTAAAATAGTCACATATTTGTCTCATATTTGTGATAAATCAAAAAACTAAATACTGATTCCTTTGTATTGTTGACGACTAGACAGATTTGGAACACCTACACTGTATGTTATACTATGAATCAAATATTGTGACAGCATATCACATTGAGACCTTGTCAGTCAAAATTGACTACTTCACCAACTTAATATGTACTACGACTGTGACTTGCACGTTTTAGGAAAATAACATGAGGAACACGGCCACTCACCTCCTGGGGAATATTCCAGGCCATGTACACATGGCTTTTAAACTCATCCATCCAAACTTCTGCAACTCTGAGGGCATTTCGCCGCACATGAGACGTTAGATCCTCAGTGTAAGGTTTATGAGCACGCTCGATGTGGGCGATGCGAGCACAGGGCAGGACCTCAACGCTGCCGCCACACTGCCACACCTGGTTTTAAACATGACAAATATAAAAGAAAAGAGAAAATTAATATCCATTGACAACAATAGCCTAGCAATGTGTCTGCTTTACTTTTTAGAGTTCATTTGACAATTTTCAGCTGTGGTCTCGCACTAATTAGAAATCACAATACACGCACACACACACACACACACACACACACACACACACACACACACACAATCATCAAGGCTTGAAACCTCAGCTGTAACAAAGGCTGCACAGATATGCTGTGACATACTGTATAAGCCTTGCACCTGATGTTCATCCTGGATGTTCTGGGGAGCACAGTTACTTTAGAAAGTAAAAAGTTACAGTAGAGCACAATTCGTCATGCTACCCCAGAACACAAATCTTATGAAAAACATAATCTCACTACTCAGTTGTTTCATTAATCTGATGAAAAATGCCCTTTTTTTCTGTGTAGAGCTGTGAACCCTTGATCTTTTTCACTGTATTGTTTTTCTAATCAGTCAATGTAAAGTTATTTTTGCATTTTTGAACTTTTTTTAGTGCTAGCATCAAACGTAAAAACAGACTGTCAGTCAGGCTTGAGACTAGTCAGATCTAAATCCTCACAGTCTGCGCAGCGGCCCATGATGGCATCACTTCTAGGCTGCTTAAAGCATGTACCGTACTGGCCAATAACAAGAGGCCCTTCATAACCTCTGCATCTTAATGTGTCCTTGACTGTGAGAAAGGAGTTCCCATGGTGGAAAATGTTAATGTCCCAGTGTCCAGAAGAGAAGCCTGAGTCCTTGATAACCAAAATCCAGCGGCACTTACTCCTCACATAATGAAGACCTCTGGGAGGCACAGGACCCCAAACTTTTCCCAACTGTGAAAGCTCCATTCAGCAAATGGTGATGGGATGTGATGATAGCAAATTCCTTCATAGAGACGAAAAGCTATAACAGAAATGCAATTATACTTTCTGTAACAACTTTTCAGCATCATATACATGTTTAAGTTTTCATGTTGTTCAACATTATGTTCTCAGATTACGCAAATCTTTGTGCACTGCATGCAGCAAAGAACAAAGAAACCAATGCAGCTTTGTGCACTTTTTCAGCTGCTATGCATAATCGCATAATTAGCCTTTTCTATACTTTTCCCATGCATTTCTAATTAACACGAAATTAAGAATTAAAATAGTTGGTTATGTGGATATGGTGATTTATGTAAACCCACTTGATTTATATTCTTATTTACATTCTTTCCTGTGTTCGTTAACAGCCATAATCTCCCATATGAGTTTTGCATATTTCAATTTATTCTGTCATTTTTAGGACTAGCATTAATACATCAAAAAGGATATGGATTTCTGAGTTACAAAAACTTTGAAAAGAATAAAATGAGTATTAAAGCTTGGAGGGAATGAATTAGGGAATGAATAAGGCCGTACAAGGCTGCTGATTAGTATCTGAAGAATTTGAATGGTATCTCAAAGCAATTCAATGACTCTGCAGGAGGAATGAAGATGTGCTCCTCTATTAACATGCTCTCATTTATATGGGGCCATGAAAGGAGCTGTCACTACCAGAGCCTGTGGAGGATGCTCAATCACTAAAATGTACTGATCTTAACATTAGTACAGGAGATTTTCCATGAGACTGACAACTGCTGTCTGCCCCTTCTCCTACTTGTTCCTGTTTAATCAACAACTGGCCTTCCTCCTATAGGGCCACCCTGACCTGCTGAAAGCAGATGGCTTTCATCCTGGAATAGACGCTACTATTTTATCTAAAAATATAGACAGGGGTTTAAGTCATGTTTGACGTTAGGGACTTAGTGCTTGGCAGATTGCAGGTGATTAGAGAGCCTGCTAGATTTATAGGACAGGTGGTTTTTGGAGTCCACTAGTTTATGTCCAGCCAGGGAAATCCTCAGAGTGCAGATTATTGTAGTGACAACTCATTGGTACCGTCTCTTATATTATTAATTCGTCCCTTACATTTGGCATTGTCCCAAAAAGCTTTCAGACTGCTGTGGTTAAACTTACAGACACCACATCTTGATCCAGGGTCGCTAAATAACTATTGACCAGTCTAACCTTCCATTCTTTTAAAAGTACTAGAAAGATTTGTGTCTCAACAGCTTTCAGCCCACACATCTAACAGGAATGTTTTTGAACCTTTTCAATCTGCTCTCAGGGCCTGTCGCTCCACTGAAACTGCACTTGCTAAACTGGTAAATGATCAGCTTCTATGGATTCAGATTCCACTGTATCAATTAATCGGACCACAATATACCAATTTTAGCTTTTCGTCATTGGCTTCCTCTCCATGTCAGATCAGACTTTAAAGTGTTTTTGATGACATATTCAATCCTAAATGGGAAGGCCCCGTCATACCTGTCTTATCTCCTTAAACCTTATATTTCCTCCCGTGCTCTTTGCCCATCATCAAGGGTGAATAACAAATATCAAATGTGACATAAACTGTGGATGTGACTGGGACACTAATGACAGGACACCGGCTGTCAAGCAGATCTGTCCATGACCCATTGGTGTGCTGTCACTGACAATTATTCTCCTTAGTCTTTTTTTTCAACTATTTTCTTAATTTAAAAAAGAAGAGGTAAAAGCCTGGACCTGTGGTCAGTTGTTGCATTATGTACAAAATACAACTGTATATATTTTACTCACACACTTATTGAAGCGGCTGTGTTGTTAACAGGCATCAAAAACAAGGCTGAACACATAAGGCATCTCTATAGTGAGATTTCTCTGGGAGGCAATTGATCAAAATATATATATTACAGTTGAGACTATGAAACTATCTGAGGAACATCTTCATTTATTCATTTCCCAATCTAAAATGGACATAAAATTGAGCCTGAGTACATATTATATGAGCAACTCATATAATATACTCATTTGGTCTTAAAGTTCAGTGCTTCAAGAGAAAATGTTTAGTTGTAGCAGCAGTGGTGTCCTGGCACAGCACTGAAACTCCATATTGCAGGTGGTATGCTAACAAATCACTTAACCGATTGACCCACGTTATCATTAAAGGGTGTGTATTATGTTCATTTCTGGCTCTATACTTTTATTCTGGCACTCCACTAGAGTAGCTTTGCATGAGTCACAGTTAAAAAAAAAAAAATAAAATCTTTATTTATCTCACACTGTCTGTTACACAGCCCCTCATTTGAGCATCTGACTGACACAGGCAATATTAGCTCTGGGCTCTTTAAGGTCTCCCTTCCTAAAAAACCCACTTTCTTCTGATTGGCTAACCTCCAGAAGCCTGCTGAGCTGCAGCACCCAGTACTTGGGAGCACCGAGGAAGTACTGAAATCAAACTGAAACTACCAAGTAACATTACATAATAGACTAGAAATGGCAGCTTCTCAAATTCATCTATACATGTTCGAGACCATATGCGACCCGCAATATGAGAGCAGACAGCACAAACATCCACAGTAACAAATATTACAGCAGCAGGACCTCACTGGTAAATCATAAGTCCATTACCTGCTTATTGTGTGACACAAAGGTGGATTAAGTCTTCACAAGTCAATCACAATCTGTATATAAACATTTTCCTATATATTCTCCAGTTCATAGTTGGACATGTGGGGAACACTAAAATGCTGACTGCAGCGCAAATGTCTGCTGTCAGGAAATACAAAAGCTAACGCTGCTAGTGAAATGTTACTCTGCTGTCAACAAACAACGACATAGTAAACCTGTATGGTGTACTGTATGCTTGAGTACATTAAATGCCTGTAATACTGCTCAAGTAGACAGTTTTGGGAGAACAAGCTGTGCTTAGAGTGGAGGACCGCACAAGAAAATCTGCTTGTCACAGAAAGAAACGTTGGGAACCTACTGTTCAGATTTCAGAGGATTATTGTTACATATGTTCACCTCATTGATCGAAACTTTGGCCATGTTGATGGTGATTTTTCATATTAAAAGGTGATACAAACATATGACAACAGGAAACTAATTGCCAGCTAGTTTGATAATTGACTAATCATTTAAAAAGCAAAATGGCCAAAATAAGCTTGTTCAAGCTTCTCAACTGTAAGGATTTACTACTTTCCAGTTTTTTATAATTCTAAACTTAATATTTTAGCAATTTTCTGACATTTAATAGAGAAAAACAATTAATTAGTAATTCTCTGAGGCTGCTGATTTTCATTCATTTATTTATTTGAATCCCCATTAGCCACTACCAAGGTAGCAACTTCCTGGTGTCCACTCCACTGATGTTAGGAACATGCTGAGCAACATGCTCATAATGAAAAGGCTATCATGCTGATGTTTAGTAGATATCATGTTAACCATCTTGTTAAGCATGTTAACATGCAAATATTAGCTAATTCACACTGAACACAACTGAGGCTGACGGGAGTGTCATTCATTTTGAAGATATGTCCATCAAACAGTTATTAAGATATTTCAATCTAGACCAAAATGGTGGATTGACCGACATATTCCTAGAGCAGTGCGGCTAGTTTGGATAAAAATCAACAGATTAACCGATAAAGAAAATAATCAGTTGCAGTCTTATTTCTGTAAACCCAACTTAACAAAAAACTTTGGCATTTTTTTTCAAGCTGAAAACGGCACATAAAACATTGGCACACTAGTGCCAGCACTTTCTAAAACACTCAATTAGAGCTCGTATGCAACCTCGGCCCAAAAATAATTCTCCCTCCGTTCCTCGTTTTCAGTTTTCCCTTCCGACAATGAAAACAATGCCTCTGAGTTTTTGCCTGTGTGACGCCCCTGTAGTTAACCACTAATTTTCTGCTGCCTTTTTCAAATTAATTACAAGAAATGGGTCATTACTGTCAAGACAGAAGTCTTCCATTACTATGGAGGGCTGTATTGTTATTCTATTCAAAATACAGCAATTTTATGCGGTTGAATATTCCTAATAGTGCACTTCCCTTGAATGATCAAACCCACCATCTAATTTACATGGTGACTCATACAATGTGTTTTCCAGTTCACTGCCGAGCATGAGCATGGC